TCCTCCTCCTCCTCCTCCTCCTCCTCCTCCTCCTCTTCCTCCTCCTCCTCTCTGGGCTGCACCGTGGCCTGGCAGCGCGAAGGCAGGGGCGCGGCCAGCAGAGGCCCGTTGTCCGCCCACCCCAGTACGGGTCAGGGGCAACGTCCCGCAGGCCATAGGGGGTTCCACCAAAACTCCGTGACCCCGCTAGCGATTCGGGATAGAGGGGTCTGCTATGGCGACCCTCCTCCCGATCCTGTCCTCCACGGGACCTTTCCAAATGTCCCATGGCAAAATCCCGAATCCAATGCTGCGCGGGTCGGCGGGGTGGCGTAAGCCTGCGAAGTAGCAGCGGCTGCCTCGCAAAATGCCCCCCACCCACACAGACACGCCGGCGTAGGCGCTGGAACGCGCGCTGGAGTCGGCGACGGGGCGGGCGCGGGCGCCTGATCCACAGCCTGGCTCTGAAGGACCCAGGATATCTCGCGCGGGGTGGAGAATCCGGCGAGCCATCAAAAGGATCAAAAGGGGAACGAAAACTGGTATAGGCAAGGTTGTCCGCGCGGATGTCTTGGACAAGCGCTGGACTCCCATCATTGGCGCGCGGAGCGCGCCAAGAGCGGCGCTAGAGGCGCGGCCAAAGAAGGCCAAGCGCAGCTCCTACAAATCCGGGCGGATCTCCAATGGCGTATGTTTATGCAGCTTCGATATGAATTGGGGATTTCTCTGAGGTTTCTTGGGTCCTCTGGGGAAGCCCCTTCAGAAGGCGCCGGGCCTTCGGGGGGGTCTTCATCCGCCCCCCCATATCACATAGCAACTGACCAATCGGTGCGCCGCGCTTCGCGGGGCGATGATCGAGTCCAGGCGTCTCGGGCCCACCCCGATGGAGTGCCAGCCGGCGCCCTCGTGCTTATTGTTGGTGGCATGTTGCACTGCGCAGGTTCCACTAATTTGCTGGCGCTGTTCATGAACCTCTGCGGCGCGCTGATCTAGCCCCCTTCCCCGCGCCCCGGTCTCCTCACCGCGGCCATGACTGCGCCAACCGATATGAGGACCTCCCAAGACTACTCTCCGATGTCGTCGCTGGCCAAATGAATTGAGCCCGCTGCGACCCCCCAGGCGCCGAGGCCTCCACCTGCAGGGGGGGCGCCTGTCCTTCTGCAGGGTGTCTGCGCGCCGTGGAGCTGCCCCCGCACTGGGCGCGTGCGCCGCGGCGGGCAGCGACCAAGATCCCCGCGCCCCGCGACGCCGCTCTCCTCACCTTCACGTCGGAACCGCCCTCCTTCTTGACCCCCCGCGCTGGAGCGAGGCGCTGAGGCCGCACCGGCGGCGCCGCTCGATCTCCTCGTCCACGGCGCCTGCGCGCAGTTGATGTCGGCCTCGCGCTTGCCTCAGATCTCCGCGCGGGCATTCAGGAAACCTGCGAGTGTGCCACAGGTCGCTGCCGCGGGCGCCGACGATGACGAGCGCCCCGCCGCGGCTGGCCCGACGCGCCCTCTTGTCCCCCAAGCCTTCCAGCTGTGGAGCGCCAGCGCTCGGCGCCGCCCCTTAGACGCGCCCCCCCCCGGTCGCGCCCGGCGACGTCGGCGCCCCCCCCCGCCCCTGGCGCGAGCCATGCGCCTCTGTCCGCGCGCTGCTTCTCGTCTCTCAGCTCCGCCTTGGCGAGTAACTCTAGCCAGTCGAGCTGCCCTCGCGACGGCTCAGCGAGCCTGGTCAGGCGGCGCGTGACGTCGATCCACCCTGGCCCCAGAACGCGCGTTTTCCCAGGCCCCCCCCCGCACCCCTCAGCCCCCGCTCGCCGGCGATGCTAAGGGAGAGGGATGCGCTTTCCACCGGCGCGGCCACGACGCAGGGGATGCAGATTTTCATCTAGCATTAGGTCGGGCATGTTCTTCTACAGGCGGTTCTTGAGAAAGAAAATAAGAATCATCAGAAAATACGCCAAAATGGTCGAAACATATCGGAAGCATCGCCCCTGGACTGCACCGCCCCCACAATGGAAACATCGCCCCAAAAAGCAAACTTACTATTTTTGGGCATTCATAGGGACGCGCCCGACTTAAGTCTAGTCCAGCTCGACTGCGGCTTCGGCCCACGCAGGCGACGCGTTCAACCGCCCGCGCCTCGCGCCCCCCCCCCACCCCAACCCCCCCCCAAAAAAAAACTGTGATGTACCCAACCCTTTCTATACATGTGGCGATTATTCTCAGGGCCACTCAATGCTGACTGGCATTTTGAAGGACCCGCAGCGGGCAAGAAGAGAACCCAACAGTGATTTCAGAAAAACGCAGCAAGAAGAGGAACGGCAAGTATACAAAATGGAAACACAGGGGCGTTGAAAGAAACGCGTATGACGCACCTCCGAATGATCCACGTGGGACGCACCTCCGCCGGGCCTCCCAGGGGCCCACGAAAGTGGCGACAATTGCGCAGATCGCAAGCCCCCCAGGGCACCGCGAGGTCCCGAGGTGATCCGCGTGGGACGCACCTCCACTGGGCCTCCCAGGAGCCCACGAAAGTGGCGACAGGTGCGCAGATCGCAAGCCCCCCAGGGAGCGGCGAAGTCCCGAGGTGATCCGCGTGGGACCCACCTCCGCTGGGCCTTCCAGGAGCCAACGAAAGCGGCAACAGTTGCGCAGATCGCAAGCCCCCCAGGGGCGGCGAGGTCCCGAGGTGATCCGCGTGGGACCCACCTCCGCTGGGCCCCCCAGGAGCCCACGAAATGGGCGACAGTTGCGCAGATCGCAAGCCCCCCAGGGGGTGGCGAGGTCCCGAGGTGATCCGCGTGGGACGCACCTCCGCTGGGCCTCCCAAGAGATCACGAAAATGGCGACAATTGCGCAGATCGCAGCCCCCAGGGCACCGCGAGGTCTCGAGGTGATCCGCGTGGGACCCACCTCCGCTGGGCCTCCCAGGAACCAACGAAATGGGCGACAGTTGCGCAGATCGCAAGCCCCCAAGGGGGCGGCGAGGTCCCGAGGTGATCCGCGTGGGACGCACCTCGGCCGGGCCCCCCAGGAGCCCACGAAAGTGGCGACAATTGCCAGATCGCAGCCCACAGGGCACCGCGAGGTCTCGACGTGATCCGCGTGGGACCCACCTCTGCTGGGCCTCCCAGGAGCCCACGAAAGTGGCGACAATTGCGCAGATCGCAGCCCCCAGGGCACCGCGAGGTCTCGAGGTGATCCGCGTGGGACGCCTCTCCGCTGGGCCTCCCAGGAGCCCACGAAATTTGCGACTATTGCGCAGATCGCAGCCCCCACGGCACCGCAAGGTCCCGAGGTGATCCGCGTGGGACCCACCTCCGCTGGGCCCCCCAGGAGCCCACGAAAGTGGCGACAATTGCGCAGATCGCAGCCCCCAGGGCACCGCGAGGTCTCGAGGTGATCCGCGTGGGACGCACCTCCGCTGGGCCTCCCAGGAGCCCACGGCAGTGGCGACAACTGCCAATCGCAGCCCCCAGGGCACCGCGAGGTTCCAAGGTGATCCGCGTGGGGCCCACCTTCGCTGGGCCTCCCAGGAGCCCACGAAAGTGGCGACAATTGCGCAGATCGGCAGCACCCAGAGCACCGCGAGGTCCCGAGGTGATCCGCGTGGGACCCACCTCCGCTGGGCCTCCCAAGAGCCAACGAAAGTGGCGACAATTGCGCAGATCGCAAGCCCCCAGGGCACCACGAGGTCCCAAGGTGATCCGCGTGGGACCCACCTCCGCTTGGCCTCCCAGGAGCCCACGAAAGTGGCGACAGTTGCGCAGATCGCAGCCCCCAGGGCACCGCGAGGTCCCAAGGTGATCCGCGTGGGACGCACCTCCGCTGGGCCTCCCATGAGCCCACGAAAGTGGCGACAATTGCGCAGATCGGCAGCCCCCAGGGCACCGCGAGGTCCCGAGGTGATCCGCGTGGGACCCACCTCCGCTGGGCCGCCCAGGAGCCCACGAAAGTGGCGACAATTGCGCAGATCGGCAGCCCCCAGGGCACCGCGAGGCCCCGAGGTGATCCGCGTGGGACCCACCTCTGCTGGGCCTCCCAGGAGCCCACGACAATGGCGACAGTTGCGCAGATCGCAAGCCCCCAGGGCACCGCGAGGTCCCGAGGTGGTCCGCGTGCAACCCACCTCTGCTGGGCCTCCCAGGAGCCCACGAAAGTGGCGACAGTTGCGCAGATCGCAGCCCCCAGGGCACCGCGAGGTCCCGAGGTGATCCGCGTGGGACCCACCTTTGCTGGGCCTTCCAGGAGCCCACGAAATGGGTGACAGTTGCGCAGATCGCAGCCCCCAGGGCACCACGAGGTCCCGAGGTGATCCGCGCGGGACGCACCTCCGCTGGGCCTCCCAGGAGCCCACGAAAGTGGCGACAGTTGCGCAGATCGCAGCCCGACGGCACGAGAGAAGAGGAGAAGGGAACACAAGAGACAAGAGAGGAGGAGGAGAGGAGGGGGGAGGAGAAGAAGGAGGCCGGGGCGACCACACTGCTCTATTCAAAACGAGTACCCAACCGTAGGAGGGCCGGGAAATACCTCCGCAGCATGTGCCCCTGCTGCACTGCTGCCTCCCGCGCTGGATCACGGCTGCGCAGGCTTCGCGCCCGAACCGATGTCGTCCTGGGCGGATCGGGTCGGCCGGAGCACTCACTCCAACTACCCCAGCTGATGATGCCTTCTCCTCACTCGCCCCCTTCCGACTCCCAGATGCCCCGGGCTGCGGCGTCGCTCTGGCCACCTGCCCTGCGCGCATTTTGCTGCCTCGCCCACTGCCTCGCGCACCACCTCCCCTGTGCGGAAGGCCTTAAGCTTGAAGACGGCGGCCGACTTAGCTGCTGCACGGTCCGCCCCGCACTGCGATCGGGAGCGCGGTTGTGCTCCGCTGCCAGCTGCCCTCCCCCCGCCCAGGGCCTGCCGGGCCGCTGCCTGCGCCCCCTGCTGCGCGCTCGTCAGCGCCATGCTTGTCATCACCACTATCAACGCCCATGAAGCCCTTCAGCACCGCGCCGAGCTCGCTGTCCACTTCGCTCCTGACCCCTCGCTGGGCTCCACGATATTCTGGTTGACCTGTTTTGCGGACGCCTTCACAGGGCCGACGAATGCGGCGACCTCCGCTGCGGTCGCTGGCAAGGGTGCCATTGGCGCTGTCGACGACCAGGAACTGTTTAGCACGCTTCGCGGCGTCGGTAGCAGGGCATCCATCGCCTGGCTCGTCTGCCTTCTTGCCCTCGGCGTTGCCTCCTACTGCCACCTTGTGCGTCTCCTCAAACAGTTCGCCGAGCTGTTTCGGGCACTCCTGTCGTGCTCTTTTTGTTCCCGCTGCTTTCACTGTGGTTGCCCCAAGCGTTTGCTGCAACGACCTTGCTTTGCTGTGCTTGGCAAGCTCCCGCCCCAGGCCTCTCGTGGTCCTTGCTGTGAAATTCTCGTGGTCCTTGCTGTGCTTGGTAAGCTCCCGCTCCAGGCCCCTCATCCTTCCGAGCAGCGGCTGGCTGGCTGCTATCTACTCCTCGAGTTTCTTGACATCGGTCCGTTTGGTGGCTGCCAGCCCCCCCGCGCCCTCCACGCGCCCTGAAATCCGCCCGACGCGTGTACAGAGCTGCTTCCTGAAATCGGCGATCTGCGCTGGGGCCCTGGTGATAGGGGGAGGAGGAGGAGGAGGAGGAGGAGGAGGAGGAGGAGGAGGAGGAGGAGGAGGAGGAGGAGGAGGAGGAGGAGGAGGAGAGAGGAGGAGGAGGAGGAGGAGGGGGGCGTCGGATTGGCCGTCTGCCGCTCCGTCGTTGCCCCCCTTTGCCCCCTCGTGGAGCTGCGATGGTGGCGTCCGTCTCCTCCAGCAGCCTCTGCCATTTGGCTCGCCCTCCTCCCGCGCATGCCAGGCCCGCTCGCTCCACGGAGTCTGGTCCCTCTCGTCGAAAGATGCCCTAGACGATGAACCCTCGCCGAAAGGCTGCCATCTCGGCGCCCAGGCCTCGCGCTTCCTGCAGGATGACCTCCGCCTGTGGTTCCCCATAAAGCCAAACCGCGCGCAGTCCCACGAGCCCCTGCCGTAGCTGCTCCTCTGGCTGCGCCCACCCTCAATGTCGCTGCCGCCCACGGTGCAAGCCTGACCACCACCGCCCATGGCCCGCCGCGCCCGATATGGAACTTTGTCCCCTGGGGCCTCGCTGATTAATTATGGGAAAGACTCCCGGTTCAAGCGCAACGCCTCTTGCTCGAAACGCCGCTGAACGACTCGCAGTCGTCTGCTGTTGCATCATATTGAACCAGAAAAGTTGACGGGTACTGATGATTATTGTGATGGTGGTGGTGGTGGTATTGCTGATGATGGTGAGGATGATGAGGAAGCGGTGGAGGATGGTGGGGATGACGCTGGCGTCGACGACACGACCGACGACCACGACGACGACCACGACGACGACCACGACGACGACGACGACGACGACGACGACGACGACGACGGCGGCGACGACGACAACGACGACGGATGAAGGATCATACGCACAAGAGATGAGGGAGAAGGCGACGAAAGGCGAGCATAACCCTCCTCCTCCTCATCATCCTCCTCTTGGCCGCATCCCCTCCTCCTCCTCCTCCTCCTCCTCCTCCTCCTCCTCCTCCTCCTCCTCCTCCCTCTTCCCCAGTATCCCCCCTCGTCCTTCAAAGACTGCCGAGCTCGCCCCTGTGAATGTCCGGACTCGCCGTGCAAGCTGTTCCCCAGCGCTCCCGCTGCAGTCCTTCAGCACTTCTGGGCTCGCCCCGGGATCCCCGGGCCCGCCCAGAAGGAGCTCCCCGGGCCCACGGCGGTCCGAGCTGCACGGCGGTCGGATCCTCTGAGCTCGCGGAGCTCCGCTTCTGCGGGCTTTGGAGCAAGAACTCGATCGAAGCCCCTGATCCTCTGAGTCGATCGACCCGCGAGCCCAGAACAGAATAGAAAGAGTCGTGGAGCACATTTCGAGCCCTCGGCCACAAGCAGCCCCAGAGGTCCCTGAGAGGCCCCAAGAGGTCCCCAACAGGCGGTCAGGAGGCCGCGCAGAGGGCCCCCAGAACCCGAAAAAGGCTCCAGGTTGAGACGTTCCCGAAAGCCTCGGAGAACTCCCAAGAGCTTCCTGCGCACTGCCTCCCGGCGCGCGAAAATGGGCTGGCGGAATGAGCGAAGCGATTAAATGAAGAGTCGTGAAGCATGGAAACGTGTCTGAAACACCAAGCATAGACGACGCGCAACTGCAATGCTCAAGGTGAGATGGTGATGTACCGTGCCAGAGGCTGTGCTGTGCTTTGATGAACTCAAATGCGCCGTGCCGCGTTGGAACTGTGCTGTGCTCTACTGCGTCGTGGATCAGATCGTCCTTGGCGTCAGGGTCCTGACCGAGCTGATTTGGATCTTATGCTCGAGTTGTCTGAGCGCACAGTTCGTGCTGGTTGCAGTCGAGCCACGCGGGGTGCTCGACAAGCACGAGCTCAAGATCTGATTCGGTTCCGTAGCGGGCGAGCTGAAGGGGGGAGACTCCGAACCGACGCGGAACGCACCGAGAGTGAACGTAGAGAAGCTCGGCGAACCAAGACGCGACAAACTCCATCCAGGCAAACCGAAGCAATAAGGACCGAGACGAACGCCAAACCGACCCTACTCTAAGCAAGACAAGCAGAACAAGACTGAGACAGAAACAGAAAAACTTCGGCTCGCCATCCCGAAACCCCACTGCACCTCCTGGCGAGGCAGCCGAACTCCGAGAAGCCGATGCCCCTCGCAAAAAACCAGGGCCGCGATCCCGGCGCGAACTGCGATTGATCCGTGCTGTGCTGCAGTGTGCTGCGCCATGCTGTGTGGAACTTTGCTGTTCTCTGTTGCGTCGTGAATCAAGCCGTGCTTGGCACCCCAGTCCTGTCCAAACCGATCTGGATGTCGAGCTCAGGCTGCCTACGCGCATGGTTCGCCCAAAGCAGGTTGCAGTCGAAACACGCGGGGCGTTCAACCAGCTCGAAGTCAAGATCCGATTACGTTGCGAAGTGAGACGATCCGAACGAGGGAGGCGAAGCCCAATCGAAACGAAACGTACCGGCACGACGACAAGGCCCCCACTCGAAAACTCTCGAGACATCCTCAACTCATCCTCCAATAAGACACCCGCCTGGGCGACCTGAACACGTGCCAACGGCACAGGCGCTGGAAACATGTTAGATACTCCGTGCGCACTTCGCGATTCATGCGAGCGAACCGTCCGAAGACCGCGTGGTATGTGTATATATATATACCCTGTGACCGTGACACGTGAAAACGTGTCAAGTGCACAAGCACCAACAACATGTTACATACCCGGAACCCCCCGCACACGTCCTGCTGCGTGCGAAGATGCCGACGCCGTCGTGTTAGATTCCCCCCCCACCACTTGTGTGGCGTAGATACATGGAAACATGTGTCAAGTGCACAAGTGCCTGCACAGGCGCCACATATACAGGTTAGATACTGCCTCTGCGCGCGTACTTTTCACGTGTGGGGAGCCCGACGGCCACATGTTAGATATCCCGCTGGGGTGGACGCGACACATGAAAACACTCGCCAGAAGCACAGGCGCCAGACGCATGTTAGATACCCCTCCGCGCACACGAAATCGCAGACAAATAGCGGCGCATCTGTCAGGTCCTCAGTCGTAGTCGTAGTCGTGGCCGGCTCGACACTCTGCTCCTTGAGGTAAGACTGGTAATTTGAATGAGAAACATCGGCATTACATGCGTCATCCTTGAACAAGAAGCAGCAATCACCGTTCGAGATCATACTGCACCCTGCTGTTGCATCACAAACCTGTTGACATTGAGTGTCAGACCTTCCGTCGCACATGCGCCAGCCCAGTCCGGGATGGAGATCCCAATGAGGCCCCAAAGCGTCGGCACTTGTCCAATCCTGATCATGCCCTGAGCAAATTCCAGTACCAAGTGATACCCATGCCGACGGTGCTGGGGTTGGTGCGCCCTCCTGACAGATCTTGCCATACGTGTAATTATTCAGATCGGATGATGCTCGGTTAATGTTATACCAGACGCATCCCTCGCAACCAAATGCAGAACCATCCCAACTGCAATTTCATGATCGACCCACGAACCCAGAAAGAGATTTAGAACTGCGAGGCATGGGAACGATTCCGAACAACTCAATGGGGCCATGGGCAGTGGCAACGCTGAAGATATCACTGGTGATGAAATTGTGCCAAGGGCTGTGTTGTGCTGCTCTGCGCTATGCCGTGCCGCACAGTGACGTGCCAAGGGACACGTCACGGAACGTGCCAGTGGAACTGCCAGGGGGGCGTGCCAGGGGACATGCCGCGTTGAACTGTGCCTTGCGCTGTTGCATTCTTGATCAAGCCGTCCTTGGCGTCAATTCTGACCGAACTGATTTGGATCTCAAGCTCGAGCTGCCTGAACGCGTAGCCTGGGCTAGTTGCAAACGAAAAGCGCGGGTCGCTCGACCCTCTGGAGCTCAAGATCCGATTCGGTTCAGAAGCCCTCGCTCGAGACACCCTCACATTTTGCTCCGGCATCGAGCCAGACGACCGCATGTTAGATACCCCCTGCATGGCCTGGACGCGTGAAGACGTGGCTCCAGCTCGGGCCAATCATGTTGGATACCCCTTGGGCGGCCTTTTCCCAGTCTGGGGCGTTAGGAATCCACCTGTGTTCACACGTGTTCCGCACTGAGGCGCCAAGAACCAACGTGTTTTCACGCTTGTCCCGCTCAGGGGGACCCCGTGAGTTGTCACGCGTGTCCCGCCCTGGGGCGTTAGGAACCCACGTATTGTCACGCTTGTCCCGCCCTGGGGCGTTAGGTACCCACGTGATTTCACGCTTCTCCCGCCCTGTGGCGTTAGGAACCCGCGTGTTGTCACGCTTGCCGTACTCTGGGGTGCCAGGAAACCTTGTGCTGTCACGCGTTATGAACCCACGTGTTGTCACGCTTGTCCTGCCCTCGGACATTAAGAACCCAAAGGTTTTCACGCCTGTCCCGCTCTGGGGCGTTAGACACCCACGTGTTGTAACGCTTCTTCCGCCCTCGGGCGCTAGGAACCCAAGTGGGTGCGTTAGGGACCCACGTGTTGTCACGCGTACCGTGCCCTGGGGCGCCAGGAACCCACATGTTGTCACGCTTGCCTCGCTCTGAGGCGTTAGAAACCCACGTGTTGTCACGCTTGTCCCGCTCTGGGGCGTTACGACCCCGTGAGTTGTCAAGCGTGTCCTGGTCTGGTGCGATTGGAATCCACGTGGTCACGCTTGTGAAACCCAAGTGTTGTCACGCTTCTCCCGCTCCGAAGCGTTATGGACCCACTTGTGTTCACACTTGTCCCGCTCTGTGGCGCCAGGAACCCACGTGGTGTCCCGCTTGTCCCGCTCTGGTTGGTTAGACACCAACACATTGTCACGCTTGCCGTGCTTTGGGGCGTCAGAAACCCAGGGACGTTAGGCACCCACGTGATTTCCGCTTGTCGTGCTCTGGGACATCAGGAGCCCAGGTGCTGTCACGCTTGTCCCGCCCTTGGGCGTTAGGAGCCCATGTGTTGACACGCTGGTCCCACGTGTGTTCACGCTTCTCCCGCACTGTGGCGTTAGGAACCCACGTGTGTTCACGCCTGTCCCGCTCTGGGGCGTTAGGCTAGACACCAACGTGTTGTAACGCTGGTCCCGCTCTGGGGAGTTAGGGAACCCAAGTGGGTTCACGCTTGTCCCGGCCTGGGGCGTTAGACACCCACGTGTTGTCAAGCGTGCCGTGCTCTGGGGCGCAGGGAACCCACATGTTTTCACGCTTGCCCCGCGCTGAAGCGTCAGGGACCCACGTGTTGTCACGCTTGTCCAGCTCGGGAGCGTTAACACCCCGTGAGTTGTCACGCTCGTCCCACCCTGTGGCGTTTGGAACCCACGTGTTGCCACGCGTGTCCCGCCCTGGGGCGTCAGGAACCCACTTGTTGTCACGCTTCTCCTGTTCTGGGGCGCTAGGCACCCACATGATTTTACGTTTTTCCCGCTTTGGGGCGTTAGGCATCCATTTGTTTTCACGTCTGTCCTGCCCTGGGACGTCAAGAACCCTTGTGTTTTCACGCTTGTCCCGCTCGGGGGCGTTAGGAACCCACATGTTGTCACGCTTGTCCCGTTCTGAAGAACCCACGTGTTGTCACGTTCCCAGGGCCACGATCCCTCGTAAATAACGGTTCGACCGCACTCCCAGAACCACCTGGGCATCTGGGGTCGCCCAAAACAAGCGCGGGGCCCGAGACGTCCTCGACAAACCTGCGCGCAGGGCGCGCCGTCCTGGAGCGGGCACGCAAAAAGTCAATATGCTCATTTTATGTAAAATTCGAGGGTCTCCACACTTCTTTAATTGTTACGGATTCTGCGCAAAACGCTCTGCACCCTCTTTTTCCCAACCCTCCTGCGTTAGGTTCTTGTTTTGAAAAGAGCACTGCGGTCGCACACCTTTTCCCGCCCCCGTTCGCATTCTCTCCTGCCTCTCACTTCCTTCCTTCCCGCGTGCCGGCTTGCCTCCTTCCTGCGTGCCCGCTTGTCTCTCACCCTGCCTCTCACCTCGCTCCCTCCTGCGTGCTAGCTTGCCTTCTACCTGGCCATCGCTAAGGGGCTGCGATCTGCGAAATTGTCGCCACTTTCGAGGGTCGCTGGAGGGGCCAGTGGAGTGCCGAACCACCCAGACTCATACTAGACCTCGCCACCCCTGGATGGCTGCGATCTGCGAAACTGTCGCCACTTTCGAAGAATGCTGGAGGGGCCAGCGGAGTGCGGAACCACCCAAGCTCATACTAGACCTCGCCATCCCTGGGGGGCTGCGATCTGCGAAACTGTCGCCACGTTCAAAGACTGCTAAGCTAGGGGGCCAGCGGAGTGCGGTCCCAACCAGGCTCAGATTAGACCTCGCCATCCCTGGGGGGGTGCGATCTGCAAAATTGTCGCCGTTTTCGAAGGCTGTTGGGGGTGCCAGCGGAATGCGGAACCACCCGGATTCATATTAGACCTCGTCATCCCTGGGGGGCTGTGATCTGCGAGACTGCCACCAATTTCAAGGGATGCTGGGGGGTCCTGAGGAGTGCGGAACCACCCAGACTCAAAGCAGACGTCGCCATCGCTAGTGGGTTGCGATTTGCGAAACTGTCGCCTCTGTCGAAGGTTGTTGGAGGGTCCAGCGAATGACGTCCTACGCAGATTCATATGAGACCTCGCCATCCCAAGGGGGCTGCGATCTGCGAGACCATCGCCATTTTCGAGGGCCGCAGGGCGGGCCAACGGAGTAAAGCACCACCCAGACCCAGATTAGACCTCGCCATCCCTGGGGGTCTGCGATCTGCGAAAATGTCGTTAAGTTCAAAGGCTGCTGGGGATTCAGCGGAATGAGGCACCACCCAAATACAAATTAGACCTCGCCATCCATGGGGGGCTGCGATCTGCGAAACTGTCGCCACTTTCGATGGTTGCTGGGGGGGATCAGCGGAGCGAGGCGCCACCCAGAGCCCGCAAAACTGGCGGCGCGCCTTCGAGCGTTTAGCGCCCGCACCGAGAAGTGCAGGAAGGAAGGAAGCAGGGAAGCTGGCGGGCGAGCTAGGCCTCGCTCGTTTCTTGCACTAACAGAAAACAAGTTTCATCATTTTGTCGAGCGCCGAAGCGTCATGGCGCAGGCAGCGCTGCATTTTTAGCGCGCTACCGACAAAAGCAAAACTCTTCGGTCTCCTCCCGTCACTTTCATCGTCGTCCTCTGCCCCCTGCCACCTTCATTATGATGCTGCCGCGCTGACGGTTCGGCCCTCCGCGCGCCCTTGTCCTGCCTTCCGTTCCCGCCCCCATGTCCTCCTCAAGCCTGGGCCCTCTCTCCTCGTCCTTCTGTTGTTGTCCTGTGAACCGTGCCACATGAGCGCACCTCACGTAGCTTGCACAACATATAACGTCGCCTGCACTGTCATTATCCTGGCAAGTTTGGGCCAACTTCCCTTGTCACATGATGCAAATGGGTCGAGTACGTCGCAGGGCAATGTGATCAGGAAAGCGAGGGTCTGCGGACCCCGTTAGGCAACGAGGATGCGTTCCCCGAGCACGCGTGCTAAGACAGAACCTCCCGGGGCCTCCTGGGCTCGAGGGGGGCAGAAGATCGCTCCCCGAACACAGATCCCAGTATAGAAAAGTGTGCCATGGGGCCTCCTGAGGCTTCCAGGTTTCCTGGGGGCGCGGGGGGTCAGATGCGCTCCCCGAGCACACATCTCAACGCAGAAAAGTGCCTCATGAGGCCTCCTGGACACATGAAAACACGTGGTTCCAGCTCGGGACTACCATGTTAGATATCCCCCTGGGTGGCCTGGCTATGTGAAAACACCTAGATCCAACTCGGGGAAACCACGGTAGATGCACCCTCGGGTGGCCTGTACACGTGAAAACACGTATTCCAATTCGGGCCAACCATGTTAGATCCCGCCCTGGGTGGCCTAGACACGTGACAACACATGGCTCCAGCTCGGGACCACAATCTTAGGTGCACCCTGTGGGTGGTCTGGACAAGTAGAAACACGAGATTCCAACTCGGGACCACCATGTTAGATATCCCCCTGAAGCCTCCAGCACACGTGAAAGAACATGGCTTCAGCTCGGGACCACAATAACAACCCCCTTTGCGTGGCCTGGACACGTGAAAGCACGTGGTTCCAGCTCGGGGCAACAATGTTAAGTACCCCCTGGGTGGCCTGGACACGTGAAAACACGTGGTTCAATCAGGGACAACAATGTAAGATACCTTCCTGGGCGATCTGGGCACGCGAGGCAAACATTTCGCATGAGACATCATCTGAAATCTGGCTTCGCGACGGACTTCCTCAACTGGTTGATCCGCGGGCCCTACGCCGTCTTCGTTATATCTCGCAAAATATTTCCGCCGACCCACCTCAAATGGAAGAAGGAGGGTACCCTCTGAACGAAAACCCTGGGCCGGAGCCCTTT